TTTAAAACGCAGTTTACGACATTTGAAAGCTTAGGAAAAATGCTAATTTTTATGTCTCATGAGAAATTTTTATCCAATGCACCGTTCTCGCGGTATAGACGATTGAAATTTGTTTAGTATTTTGAGGCGACGAAGGTCGAAAAATTGAATTTGTTAAATGTTCAAACACTAAAGTCTTCATAACATTGGCAAAAATTAAGATATTTAAAAATACAAAAATGCGTTTTGAACTTAATGGCTGTGACTAGTAATACCCAGAAGGGGGCAAAATAAATCCCAAAATTGGGCATATGGCGGAAAGGCAAAGTGTACCGCGGTTCTAATTTCATTGTTTGCCTATAACGGCCAAACCATTTGAATTTTTTTAATACTCCTTACAAAGCTTACTTTTAAATGTAAAATCTTATGTGTGTGTGAATTTCACCGACATCGGACCATAATTGGCTAAGATATCAAACAATTAAATAAATTTTTTTCCTTAAAAAATATTTTTTTTTTGGAAATTTGAAGTGGCACAAAAATGCACCCAATGGCTCAAAACTTTTTTTTTGAGAACTCTATTGTGTCTAGAATACGATTACATTACGGAAAATTCTGCAAATATATTTTATCTATTTTTTTGACCACTGTTCATTGAGTGACGACCAAAAAACACGGTTTTTGAGAAAAGTTGCCTAAAATTGACAATTTTTAGTTTTTGGTCTGAAAATTAAGCAAACCCAAATTTCATGTCGTCTAAATGTGTATACAAAGTTTAAAGTGTGTATGTTTCTTCTAAGTTGTAGAATTCTCCCGACAAAAGTCCCATTGCACGCGCTCCGCGGGATCCAAAACTCGTGTATACACTACATTACTGTTATTTGATTTTTTTGTGATTTCCAGTTTGAAATTTCTTACATATTTAAATTTATTAGGGCTAAAATTTAGTAGGTTGTATTTTACTGACTTGTTATAGGACGTTTCTTGAGTTTTTTTGCAAAATATAGAGTTACCGTCAAATTAGCCGCACGTCGCATCAAGGATAGTAATGGTCTCGGCGTTCGCTATCTGACAAGTTTAAACTTCAAACGGTCATATTTTTACAAATTGAATCGCTTGATAGTGTTCATCAGCATAGATTTTTAATAACCGTGTTCAGCAAGCTATGTGTACACGTGGCTTTTCGAACTTTTCAGCAATTTATTGAGTAAGTACGTTCCTAAATTGTATCACAGTGCTATAATTTTCCAGGTTGCAATGGCTGGCCTGTGTTTATTATGTCATCAGACAATTGCAGAGGGAGAACTATTGCAGATTTGCAATGCGACCTATGACATAAGAAATATAACCGAAAACTACGCATTTTTGTGCTTAGAAAATTGCTCGTAAAACGAGTGGTTTTTTCTTAAATCCAACATTTTTCCATTTTTTTCAGAAAAAACAAGCACACTGTCGATTTTTTCCGTAATTTGGGCACTTTACAGACTGAAAATATATTAGAATCAGTAAGTTTAATGAGAAACAAGCTTACTTTCTCTCCCAATTGCCAGAAAATTCGAGTAGCTTCAATTCTCGCAAGAATGACCGATCTTTGCACACGTGCGCTCAGAAAACAGTGGATGCTAGAAAAAATGTATATGCCACAGTTTTTCGTGTCTTTTTTTTCTCTATCATCTGATGGAAACAGTTTTCTATTCAGATAATTAGTTTTCGAGTTAATTAAGAAAAAAGTACGAGAAATTAAGAAAAAATTGTTTTGCAATTTTTTTCAAAAAGTTCGGAACGTAACTAGAAAATACGTATTTTTGTCATGCATATATATCTTCTCCCATTTCAAGTTTTCTTGTAAATAACTAAAAACCAGATATTAGAGAACAAAAACCAAGCTTATCACCAAGTTGGAACTTATACTCAGGCTTAGGATTAATTTCCTAACATTTTTAAAGTATACCTTTTTGTGTATTTTTTTGTGCTCTTTTCGATGGCGAAGTTAGTTTTTTCAAATATATTTTTTTGTTAGATGTTTTCGGAAAACCCCGAAAAAATCATATGGAAAAAAAAAATTAAAAAAAAACTACGCCATCCGGTTTCCTGCGAATTCCCAAAAAATTATGGCAGATTTCGCCGCGGGACTTATTTTATTTGAGAGCCAACAAAAAAATAAACAACTTCTCTCATGGGCACATATGTCTAACATTTATAATTTCGCCACAAATTCATCGCAAATTTCATGTCCATGGTTCTGATCAAAAAACGAAAAAACGACTTTTTGGTAAAAGCACTTCTGGAGGCGAGAAATTCGCCATTAAAACTACCTGGGCAATGAATTTCCGAACTATTTTTGCCTCCTCTTTCGAATGGTACATTTATTTTCACTATCGGAATGATACTTGCCCAGATAATTAGCATTTTTACAATGAAAACTTCCGGAAAACCCGGTTTTTCCTAATTTAAAAAAAATTCAAAAACTGCTACATCTTTTTTTTCTTTTTTTCGAAAAGATCACATCAAAATACACAAGGTCCTTTTTGTTTCATCCAATTACAAATTAATGTAAGCTCGAAGGGGCTTTGTTTCGTTATTTAATTGGACTACTAGCTTTTCAACCCAATCACATTATGTTGACGTTGAAAGATAAATTGCTCAAAATAAAAAGAGTGGTTATTTCCATAAAGAATGAAAAAAAATATGTGATAAGTATGTGTTTCTCCTTCTCCTCAGTGTTTAACATATTCATTGTGTGCCGTTGTTTAACAAATACCAAAGAAATATTCCGAGTCTCCTAATCTAGAAATGACCAGTGAAAGAGAAAAATGGTTAATATATTATTACTAATTTTTATATTTTTTAAGACTTGTTCGTAGAGTAAATAAGAAGCTCAATAGTGAGATTAGTTCATGCCCGTCTGATAGAACTTATGAATGTTTTATTGAGGTTTTCTTTTTTGCTATTGTTTTATGAAACGCTTTAACAACTGCAGCAAGAACTTTTAAAATTGGAAAGTCCTAAAAAGTATTTTTTTTGCATTATTAGGATCGATATTTTCACCTCTGACTAAAGAAAGTTACATGTAGATTTACTAGAAAGAAAAACAAACAATAGCCATATAGTTTAATCAGAAAGTATTCACTTTCAACTTTACTCAGAGGTGAAAAGACTGACCCCTTATTTTTATAAGCTAATGTATGTTGTTTGGTACAGATAGAACACAATGAGGAAATTCTCCATTTTAAATATGGCAGTGGCTGTTTTGAATATTAACATAAATTATAGTCAAAGTTCAAATAATTCTAAAATCTTTCGATTTTAGTAATGACGCAATTTGTGTACCAAAGACAGTGATAGTGTGTCAATGGCAACAGTGTGCCAATGAAAGTAGATTTATTATTTATTATTGCGTTTACTGCGTTTAACAACATAATGTTAAATATATCTACAGCTAATACCTTTTAGGGTATATAAATGTTATTTATATTGGAACATGCTCTATTACAATGTAATTTATGATTAAACACAAAGTTTGTTTCTGGTAGTCCAGTAGGTAGCATGTGCAATTGAAAATGACAAGTGGCCCTGTAAAGACAAATCTACAATAGAATTTATATTAGCGTTTAAATAGTCACTTTATTAAATAATTTAAAAAACACAAAATGTGATATTTTATATCAAAAACATATCAAAGACAAATGTAAACATTTTATAGTGCTATATATACAATATTTACAATGTTATTTTCTATTAAATAAATTTCGGTAATTAGATACATACACTATATAATAATTAGTTTTTAATATGGCACTCTTCCCAACATGTTTTCAAGATCATTCTGACAAAGAGTATGATAAAACAGAATAAAGGTAAAACAGTTCAAAATTTAATTCTCTTAAAACTGATTAGTTTTGTAAAGTTTTTATGCCTATCACAGTTATTATCATAATCTTAAAAAACATTTAAAAATGTTTAATAAAATTCATAATATACTCTTACAAACTTTGACTTAGGTTCTAATTAGTTTTAAGATATTGTTTTAAAAATACTTCTATGAACCGTTATATGATTCCCCCCTTTACTATTAAAGCAGATTTATAGCATCCCTAAGGCTATCTCGCGGATTCGAAAGTTTTATCAGCGTCTTAAAAAATGTTACTTGGCCTGTATACAAATCCTGTGACCCTGGTGAGATAGTCAATTTTTATCATTAATAAATAAGCCAACATTTTTGAAAATTTAATTAAAATAAGAGTATTACATTTTATTTTCAATATGCAAAGTGTTATTACAGAATCTCAATATAGTTTTGTACAAAACTCAAGCATTGAATATGCAGTAACGAATCAATAAAATGTGCTGCAGTATATATTGACTTTGCCAAAGCATTTGATACTATTTTTCACAACATTCTACTTGACAAAGTTAATAACTGTAGTAGTATAAGGGGTTTAGCATTAATGTTACTGAAAGATTTTTATCAAGAAGCATCCAGAGCGTAAAAATCGGCAATCCCGGAAATTCTTATACCATAGTAAAAATGGAAGTCCCACAAGGAACGGTATTGGGCCCAATTTTGTTTCTTAGCATTACACACATTAATAACTTTTCTGGTAATGTACTATGCGAATAGTACTGTAATTATTTTCACTGTAAATGCTAACTGCAGATCCGGCCCTGAAAAAAAATATTATTAAATAATAATATAGGTACTAACTTTAAATGTTTTGAAAACAAAATGCAATTACTTTTAATTTAACCATCATTAACTAACCTAATAAGTTTTGTATAAAATTTCATATTAGCGACTGACAAAGAAACTGCCACTTATTACCAAAAATTTCTCAAGTTAAATACCTAGGTTTAATACTTCACTAATACGTTGGTCATATTATCCATGTTAGTCTTAATGAACAAATTTTATGTTCTCTAGATACTTTGTACTTCAACTAAGGTGGTTTTAACTAAAGTTACTTTAACGATTTTATTATGAAAATGGCCGTCATTTTAACATATATATTTTTTTGTTACAGATGACATCTCCTTCCGTATCCCCTCTACCACTATCATCTACATGACCTACCGCCAATCGACGCCCGTAAAATGATCCGCGATCAAGATCCGGCGACTTACGGCTACCAGAACTCGTTCCTTCGAAGGTCGTCGCCACCGGGGAGTCCTGCTATAAAAAAATGCTGCTACGAACATCCCGTTGCGGTTCCTACAGAGCCGTCGTTCTTCTGTTGCTGTTACTCGTGTTCTGGTAACAGGAGCACGTCAATTTTGGCGACTTTGGGAGTGTGTTTTTTAGTTTTGGGTTATACGATCCTAGGAGCTTTTGTTTTTATGGCCCTGGAGGGAGGATTGTACGATGAACGAGTGAGTAGTACGAATGTGGCGGCTTCGAAGGGAAGTCCGAAGGAACCGGGAAGAAGAATGGGAGAGCTGAGATCAGAAACTGTGGATAGGTGAGTGTTTTTTTGTTTTTACAAAAATATTCGTGTTTAAGTTATACACTTTTGCATGCGTTTAAACTAATTGTCGAAACATTTTTTCCATTCGAAGGTGGTATTATTGGCGCTATTCTGTAGGATGTTACAGGTTCTGTAGACTTTGTAACTTCCTATTATTACAAAATCTAAAATGAATGCTATTCTGTAGATTAATTTTCCTTCCATTTTTATGTAAGAATTCTATACTTTATATATCTTTTACAGTCAGAGTTTTGGCTCTGTTAAAGCTGACATGTTCTTTAACTTTCCTTTGTTTATAAAAAATAATAAAAAAGGAAATTAATTCCAACTCAAATATTTATTTAATTTATTTTACGTCTTGGTCACATTTGAATTGGAATTAATTTTCATTTTTAAATTGCCAGTTTGGCTTTTCAGTTCCACCTAGTTTTATAACTTGGTACTATAAGCGACCTCTGATTTTTATTACCAGGAACAGATGACCTCACCATTTTTACTACTTGAATAGGTAGAATGTTGAAATTTAATTTCTTCCTTTAGATGTAATTCAATACCTGTTGGTCGCACCTATTTTATTTTGTGATATATGGGGCTTCGTGATTTAATTTATTTTAAAAAATAATTAGTTTACAAAGACAATTGTATGTGTAAAAAAATACATTTTACACAATTATTGTAAGAGTAGAGATAGATCAAGTGAACTCAGGTTGAAGCAGCTCACGGTAGTTTATATCGACAGCATCTGCAATTTGTAGAACTGTATACGGCTGCATATACATACTATGGAAATTAAATTATGCAGCTAAGTAATGGACATTGAAGAGGAAGCACTATTGCTTGTATTTTAAGTATGTAGAAAAAACAGAAAAAGATGAAAATTTAAGATTATCCTGTTTTGAATATCATTGATAAGAGCATCTGTGCCAAAATTGTCTTTTAATTAATTAAACACACAAAAATAATTTGAGGGCTGAACTGATTGTAACTTTCTAAACCGTCCGACGAATATTAACTGCAATTTGCAGTTAGTGCATTTTGACTGTAGTGATTCCAAACTACAACTATAAAGTGCAGTCGGTAGTAACCACACATATTCCACCCAAGAAAAATTATTTTTATTTAAATAAATATTAGACATTAATTGATTTAATCAACAAACTGAAAGTACACTATAAGGAGAGAACAACTACTGACAATTCCATACCTTTTCACTTAGAATTGTTGGATTGTATACATTTCTATGACAATGCACCCCATAAGATCTATCGTATATTCATCCATTAGTCAACCTACGATAAATAGGACAATTTTTGAAATTAGTAGCAGCAAAGTAGGAAAGTAAGCCACAAGTAAATAATTTTTTTTAGAGGAGTGTTAGGTGCTATAGACTGCATTAATGTTAAGATATTAGCAATTTCAGTATCTGATCTTGAGCATCCACTCTATATAAACAGAAAAAGACATTCCATAATTATTATGTTAATATGTGATTCCTCTATAAAAATAATTGCTATATAAAATAATTACAGCATCTGTAAGAAGAATATGAAGGTAGAGTCAGAAATATGTGTTTTTCTAATTGGTGATAGCGAATATCTCATATACAAGACGATGGATGGTATGGTTTTGGTTAGGTTACGTTAAAACTCTTTTCAGTCTTGTCTAACACATAACACGTATTTTAATCACAAAACAAGCACTATCTGATAACCATTATAGCTCTTTTCTACTAACTTATATAAGGGTTTTTATAGTGAATTTTGTAATGCTTACAGAATCTGTATATTCTGCAGCACGCTACATATATATTTACGGTACATAGGTATTTGGCTGAATCCAAATCAAGGTTTTTGAAGGCTTCAAATGCTTCTAGAAAGATGAAATTCACACACTGCGATAACCAAAGTGTATATGGGTAATGATGACATTTTTTTGATATTTCTTTTACCTCAATTAATCAATAGATTATTTCATCGAAAGACATATTACAGTTGCAAGGTCTTTGCTTTTTAAGCAGGATTTTATTTAAAAGAAAACTGTAAATGATCTTTTCAGCAATCTGTCTAAGGTTACGACATCAGCATAACTTTCTTCTTCTTTCCTTGTCTTCTTCTTTTGCTGTATGGGCTCAGTTTTTTACTAGCACTATCAGAGGAATACCTGGCTTGTCAAAAAGCGCTTATGGCTTCTCAAATGGAGTAATGTTATTTAACGGAATAAAGAAACTCTAAAACAATACCACATGTTAATTTTTTAGATTAGAGAGCAGCTAGTTTTGGTTTAAAGCTATCATCAGGTCCATAATACAACATTAATGTGCTAAAGATCCAATTTAATGTAGATATGTGGATCGACTGTTGCAGATAGTGTACTCCATAAATTGTGGTAAGAAAATTATGAATAAAAATATATAATATAAACCTCAGATATAGAAGCATCAGCGATGAAAGCTTTAGGAGTTGTCAGCTTTGAAGCTCCCATCTCTCATGTTTTTATTTCTAAAGAATATATCTCATTGGTTTGAGCCAAATCTCTCGATTTTTGGTTATTCGAATTCACATTATTTAATTTTATAGGGTAACCTATATAAAACAGACGATTCTCATCTCAACATTAAATTTGTTTTTATTTATTAATTCTGTAATTATATAATATGTAATGTTTCTTACTATTACATTTCGATTTTGTATTAAAAGCCTTTAAAGCAGCCAAAACTAGTTGTTCGATATTCCAATAAAAATTTACAAGTGCCTTTGACCTAGAGTATCTTTATTCCTTTGAATTGTTAGAGATCTGCTGTACGAGAACTGACAAGGATACTTTGTGTAACCACCTTGCTGGCCTAATAGAAAGTTAACCATTTTTAAATCAAAACATATGATACAGTTATTTTCCACATATTTAATTTTGTCCAAAACCAGAGCAATAGTTGTATATTCTTCTTTTACTTTTGTAGAATGTGCAATAGGCAACGACCTTAATTTATTCCCATTGTGTAAGAGAACACATTTTAGACTCCCTTTTGACGAGTCTATGAATAAACGCACTAACTAGAAACATAATTTGTAATCCCATTGCAGCCATCAATCCAGGTACATCTTTACAAAATATAAAATTGTCTTCTTCAGTAAAATATTTGAGGAACTCCTGTTGTCTTGTGCGGTAATAAGAAATTTTAGTATCTTTCGTTACCAATTTTCTTTCTTTTAGCCTTGAAGCCAAAATTTCTGAAGCTGACTTTGACAGTCTCAGATCTCTAATTAAGTCATTTAAATCATATTGATTGAATGGTTTTGGCGTTCCCAGGTCGAATTCAAAGTCACTATCACTACTGTCGTTTTTCGTCTCAAAATATTCTGGCTCTTCTTGTAAAGTATCAGATTGAGGTTCTGGTGTAGACTTAGGGCTCAGGACACGTCTATGTGCCGATTGTATGGAAGGATATTCCCATTTGGCTCGATTTTTTTGGTTAATACCAGTTATGTTCACCAAACAAAAATAACAGTTGTCATGGTGGTTCATGGGTTCATTCCAAATCATAACGGTTTTGTACCTGAAGCTATGTCTTTTCTTATTTGTCCATAAATGTAGGAACTCAACACATGTTTTGCATACCTTTTGCGAAATCCAAGTCTTATTTTTCATTTCCAGCGGGTGCTCAAAGTAATTTTTGTAAGCTTCATTTACAAACGTTGTCAAATTTAAACGGTATTCTTTAAATACATACTCTCCGCAAATTAAACAAAAATTGTTTGAATTATTCACACATACTCTTCTTGACGATGCCATATCAAATTACAAAATAAAACAATAATTCAAACAAGAAAGATAATTTTACTATTTTCTTACTAAACCTTCCCCTAAAATAACAAAAGATCATTTCTTAAGAATTCTGAAATTGGGTTTTACTGGTCTTTAAAGAGAGGTACTTTTACTTTTATAAGTATGTTCTAAGAAACTATATGGGTGTTCGCGGTCAAACATCAGAGGGGTCGTTAAAGAGGATTATAAATTAATGGTATTTCTTAATAAAATTAAATATGTATAATAATTCAATAATCATTATTAGATAAACTGCAAATAAACACAGCAAATGTTTAGTGAAAGCTATAACTTGTAAACAAGAGCTGTCAGAAAAAAAGTAGGGGTATATTTCGAATCAGCGACTTAAAATTAGTAAACATCATGTAACATAAGTCATTCATCAGTCAAAAAGTATAATTTTGATGGCCACTGTAATGAGATGTTGTCGATTGCGTTTTCTGAGTTCATCGTTGTCTTCTGGCAAAAAATTACTAAAAAATGGTTGCGAGATATCCTGTACAAAAGAAACAACTAACCATTTTCCTAAAAATGCTTCATTAACAAACAACTTTTGTTGAATCGAAACAGTTGAGTTGCTTAGTTTCCGGCTTTTTCGAAAAAATCCAAAGTTTCGTCACCTATTGCCATGTTTTATATAGGGATTTTGTGTGGAAATTAAATTTTACTTATATAAATAAAATACTTACGCTTTTAGTATATTTTAGAGGCTTTTTCTTTTAGCACAAAAAGGCATATTTTATCAAAACTTGTTTTACCCATATTCACTCAAAGGCACTAAAATCGGTAAAATGTTTTGGTCTCTTCCTACAAAAAATTAAGCGGTGGCAGCACCTTACAGAGTTTTAAACGAAAAATATACGAAATTTCATTTAAATTTCACTTAATATAAGAAGAACAACATTGCACGTTTTAACACAGTTTGGCTGTAAAAACATTTTTTCCAAAATTCGATTAAATAAATCAAAAAAGTCATGGACTGTCACGATATATTTTGTAAAAGAATATCTACCAAAATATAGATATTCAGTTCCAAATTGTTTTTCAGTAAATATCCTATTGTTACTCATCCCCAAGGATAAATCCCTAAATTCGGCCCCAGGTGAGACCAGAGAAATCCGATAAACTTACTAAAAAATATATTTTTTTTTGCAGACTCTGGAGTATAACGGAAAACCTGAACATTTTGTACAGGGAAAATTGGACGAGACTGGCAGCCGACGAAGTGTTAGTGTTCCAAGAAGCCTTGTTTAATGTGTTACGCGAAAGTGACAGTGCATATGCGAGTTCTAGAGTCGGGACTATTGCCTATTATCAAAATTACCACAAGTGGAGCTTCAGCTCGAGTTTCCTTTACTCGTTGACCCTCATCACGACGATCGGTAAGTGCTTTTTATATAATAATGTAGATGTGATAGTATTATTGCGTTTTAATGTGTGATAGACCTTATGTCACCAAGTTTAATAACCAATCAGACTCTTTTACTATTATATTTTTTAGATACTGTAGATGGAAACTTACTTTAAATTAAGCTGGTTTTTCGAGTTCAGAACTGGGTTTCTACAGTTTATTTAATTAGCCCTACGGGGGTTGTTTGGCCATGGCTTATTAGCTTCATTAGCGGTAACAATTCTGTACTGATTCCGAACATTAAAGTAAAAATTATACCGCATCTTATAACTGGATTTGTGTTGTTAGCGTTCAGAATAAGTTCGGGATCGGCTCCGCGTACAAAGCTATTGTAATATGCTTGGACTTTACAATTATTCTGGGGAATATTTTATCTCTAGATATATTTGTTAAAATTTACTGATATGTTTTGGATATTAGTACAATAAAATAACCCATTCAATGAGGATGCTTTCGTACTTAGCAGTGACCAGTCAGAATGCATGTGATTATGTGATCAGTCGCAGATTCTGTCTATATAGTCTTAGTCAAGTATTTGTTTGCTGTAGTGTTGTCAGGATAACTTAAAAATCTCCCTAAAAACACTGGAGCCTTTTGTTTCATTTCACCTTTCCTTGAATTTCAGAAGGGAATGTTCTTTAATTAGATTTGTCACTATTGATGTTTTCAGTCCAATAGAAGGTATAGGTCCAAAAAGTATTTGGTTGGCTGCCTTCTTGGCTACTGAATCAGCAAGATGGCATGACCTTTGATCCATCTTAAGGTGATCACATTGTTGATGAATACTTCGCTCAAAGCTTTGTGAAATTCTAGTACTAACCCAAAGTAAATTTTTGATCTGCCCAGGATGAACAGTGCTTATCTGCTACCTGTATAAATAAACATGTTCTTAGTGATATTGTTTCTGGTAACTTATTTTGCTCTGTTTGAACTCCACTGGCACTAGCCCATTGTATGTTTAGGTTTAATGATCTGTAGTATATTCCACATCCTGAGTCATATTTTGTTTTATAACTGTCGGTGTAGATATAAATCATATCTACCAATTCTGACTCTACTGATTGTTCGATTATAACTTTTTATGGTCTATAGAAGCTATATCTCGATGAGATTAAGTCCATGTTCGCATGAAACAGTAGAAGAGTATCTAGCGCCTCCTGCCAAAAGCGACATCTCACCTTACCAGATCCTACATCAGGTTCTATTCCAAACGTGCGGATTCGGGTCATTGTATTCAAAGGATTTGGCATAAAATATCGCACGTCCCGAACAATACTGTACTAACTATAAAATTTTCAATTTTCCATTTTTTTTACTAAAATGTAAAGGTGCTATTAATATTTCGGCAACAAAGACTTCTGCATCGTAGCTTTTACCATTTCGTCTTAGATGACGCAGGAGACACTCTTCTTTGGAGGGTGTCTGCAGAAAATTTTCAACGAATACCGAAGTTACTACGGTTGTTACTACGGTTTTTTTTTATATCTCGCGCGTCCCCAATTAAAAACGTAATTATTACTGTCTTCTTGGGAAACTATTAGTAGAAAAATATTGTTATGTGAGCCATTTCATTATTTACTCATGCTCTATTCCTCCAAGTCCCTCTCTGTCTTATTTGGTCTTTGAGGCTCAACTTGTCCGATTATCATACATAATTAAACCCCTTAAGATCAAACATATGTGACGACTATGGCGGAGGAGCTTTCGATGACTATTCGAGAAAGAGCGGGATAATATTTCTAGTGTGTTGGTGAGAATAGGTGAACTTTCGCCAAACTTTTAAATCTGTATTTAAATATTGGTGAAGGACCAAGCGAGAATTAATTAGTTATTATATGCGGACAGTGAAGATAAATAGTGAACAGTCTAAAGACATTCGAAATATATATAAATTAGAATAATAGTGTTATAAAATAAATAAGTTTTTAAATAAATTAATAATAAATAAACCGTTGTTTAAAATAAACAAACATCACAATATTAATATTTTCAATTCAATAGTGTTATGTACCAAAATAAAATTTTATGATTCTGTTTTAAATATCGTTCCGATTGATGTATGTTTATTTTTTTAATTTTTTTTAAATAAAAACATACTTTTTATGTAAATATTGTATTAATTTAGTAGCCTTTATTTTCTAAAAAAAAAAAAAAATATTAAAAACAAGTGTTTTACGTTTTTATAATTATATTTTAGCCGTATTTTTTTCTGGTATCTTTTAAATCTTTTAAAATCGCACATAATATTAATAACATTTAAAATGTTCTACTGTAAAATTATACTTTTGGTAGGTATTACACTATTACAAGTACAAGTACTAAATTAATAACTAAAATAACTACATATTTACAATATACTGGAAAACAATGAAAAATTAAAAGTATGCTTGAAAGTGTACTATTTACATATGGGTGAGCAATCTATATAACTATAGACATCATTAGTATGACTGCGTGATCTAAATGATCGACTGTCAGAACTTTCGGCGCCCTTATGGTACAGTAACGCTATCTTAATTTCATAGGTGTGACGTCAGAGGCAGAGGCGGACGTTTAGTAATTTGCATCTACTGCTCTGCCTTCCTTTTTAATTATTTGCAAAGTATTTTTACTAATACCAGTTGCTGCCAAAATTCGTTCCCTAAACAGAGTAAGCGAATAAGTAAAGTTTTTTTTTTATCTTTTGAAGCATATGCTTTTATAATTATTAAAAAACTAGCTCACCCATCGAACTTCGTATTGCCTAACAGTCATTTAAAATGTTAGGATGGATTATTTATTTTACAGACAAATACAGAGACCTAACAACACTTTTCTACTTTAACCTACATTAGAACAAATTTTGTATAACATAAATTACCTTGAATATCGGTTTAAATCCGTGTTCTTCGGCAATGTCTGTTCCAAATGAAGTCATTTAAAACCAGCCATTGTATATATAATTTTTTTCCATGAATTTTTTGATATTTTAATAGTTATTTTGCTATTCAGGGTGGAGACGAATTCTATAAATAAAAGATCGCATTTAACTCGTTCTAGCCGTTCTTTAGATATAAATGGTGTAACTAACCCTACTTTGTTTTATTTATTAAGATTAATTAAACCGAAAATAAGTTTATTAATTAAAGTTATTATATATACAGGGTGTCCCGAAATTAGACGGTCATATTTTAACAGCGTAATCTACATCCTAAAATAGGAGTAAAAGTTCATATAAACATAGGTCCGAAAACGTTTCGTTTTCGAGATACAGGGTGTTACAAGTGAAGTCCTGATGGCATATTTTTGTAAATATTTTTTAAAATTTCTTTAGTCACCGGTTTTTCCAAAGTAAAAAAAAATAAAATTTCTGATTTCACAGACATACTAATTATTGTTTACATTTTCGAATAACTTATCAAATGTTTTTTTCTTGAAAATGGTGCGTCCTAGCGAGATGCAACAAAAGTAACTTTATTGTAAAGAAATCATGGGTTTTGACCATAATTACCCTTGATTTGATATTAATTATGTATTGTCTACATAATAGATCAATTTGAATATTTGACTTCCTATTTTCAAATTCTGGGAATTGCGTATTAACAGGTATACAATAATACCTATTAAGAAATAGAGGACTTATTTAAGTACCAATTTACCAATATTATTATTAAATTACATATATTAAATACATAATAAATATTTATTAATTTAATCATTGATTGCCAAGCTCTTGTCTACGCAATGGATTCAACTTGAATATTTAAAATTTTAGTATCAATGGTAAAAGCTTATTTTTCAATCTAGGTGATCGCTATGGTTACGATAGTTTCGACGTTTTAGAAATAGAAAAATCGGCATATTTATTTTGGGGAACTTATGGAACAAATATTCAAACCTTCATAATTATGGGCAATCTGTTATATGTTAAACGGTAAACAGATGGTTTTAAAAGCAAAATTTTTTTTGATGAAATAGGTAAATATTTTAAAAATTAATTTTAAAAGAAACTGTTAATTCGCAATACTATTAACAAATGTTTGTTTCTAAAATAATTGTTCTTTAGTTAATTCAGTATTTGCATTTGCAATTTACAATTTTTTTTATTAAATGTTATAAATTATGAAAACCTTCTCGTTATTATGAATGTATAATTCTGATTGTAAATAATTATATGCTCGTGGAATTATTGCATTAGCCGCCAACGCTTCTAACGCTTCTTACTACTTGTTATGTATACGACTGTTATAAAATAAATGCTATATTATCATACTCACCGATAATTTTTTAGAGGAATTTGAAATCCTTCATTTGCTTCTTTTTCCATAAATTTAGTAATATTATATATAATTTATCTTGTTTTACTATTAAAGGACCTCCCTTTTAATCCGATTCTCTTTGGAGCCATTACAACAACAAAAACACAATACTCATATGTAAATATAAATCACAAGGCACTATAATTATATAAAATTGTCACTTTTCGCACTCTATTCACTTCTATTCACTTTGTATATACTCGACCCAAGTTACGCCACTGAATGACTAAGTTTGGCTTCACCGAGCGTCGTTGCTAGGCAACAGCCAGTACTTTTGCCATGTTGTGTACCAAACTCATCTTGGCCCGGCTCTACATATAATCATTTTTGAGTCAGGGGTGTTTTTGATTTTTAAGCCTGTAATGAGATTTTAAAAGTATTATTTTGAATAATAAAATTCGTTTGAAATTTGGATCGGAAAATGATTTAGTAGTAATGAGAAAAGTGGTGACTTAGAATCCGTTTTATGGATCCTATACGATGGGAAATAGTAAAAAATAATGTAAACAAAAAACAGAAAATTATTTTTTTCTTATGAGAAACTATCTAAATATTTTATTATAGCAACAGTTAAGAAAATATAATAGTAATCGATCTAAGAACAATAAATTTTGTAAGATGATTTATATTTGACTTAGTCTACTTCCACAAAATATTCTAAAATGTAACTGTA